ATGATCAGATTATCGGGTGTCATGGCGACACTCGATGATTTGATCAGAGACATAGACACGGGGAGAGAGAGAGAGAGAGAGAGAGAGAGAGAGAGAGAGAGAGAGAGAGAGAGAGAGAGAGAGAGTTTATAATAATGCGCTCCTACTACCAATGTCCTGCCATTATGACCTATGGCAGACAATTCTATGTGTCTGAATTCTATACATTTTGTCAATTACTAAATTAGAGCCAGTGCGCAAAAATAAAATGACACGACAATACAACCCCTCCGGAACCTGAACATTAACCTACAAACGCGCGCCCATGTAGAAAAATCCACACACACACACACACACACACACACACACACACACACAGACACACACACACACACACACACACTTCATTACACACAAATGTATTTTATCACACACAGACAAATCACTTCTATGCACACAACTAGTCGTCATGCCTTGTCTTTTTTGCCGCAGGTCTCGCCGAACGTCGGAGCACAACATTGTCTGTTGTGTTCCCTTTCCTTGGCTTCTCATTGCAGATTACATCCTCCTTTTGCAATGTGACATGCTGGTGTTCCTCTTGTTTTTTCTCATTCTGTCCCACCTCCCCGTCCTCAGCACACCCTGATTGCTCACCTGACTGTGTGACGATGTCAATGACAACATCGTCATCCTCCCTCTTGCGCTTGGGTTGTTGATGCTTGTCGCCAATCGTCGTGGCTCATTGGAGTTCGTCATCGTTTTTTCTCATTAAGGCCTCAACGTTCTCTTCCCTGTGCACACCACCTGGCCGCCCCTCGAGTACGCTGCCGTCAGAATTGAGTTGAAGCATCAAGTCAGCTGTGTTCTCTGACAAACTTTCTATCCCCTTCATTTGTGGCACTGACTCTTTCCTCGTCAGCTTAGTTTGTTGCATGGGTCCGTGGCCATTTGCGGTTTCGACCCTATGCAAACCTTGGGGGATTCCATTGTTGCAAAGCGATCCGCCGACTTTTTGTCCTCCGCGGATTCCTTCCGTTGCGAGGGGGGATAGGACGATTGTTGTTCGGTCTGCATTCTGTCACTTCGTGACTCGTCGCTGTCGCCCACAGATTTGTCTATATCATTCCTCTCATTAACTTTCTCGTCACTATGAACGGAGCTCGTGAATGGACATCCCGCTGTACTCGCGGAAGCATGGCCACCGTCATGTCCCAATTGCTGACTGTTACCAAGACACTGTTACCAAAACATATTTCACCTTCAAACTCTTGCACCACTTCTTGACTTGGCAATTTCCAAGGGATCCGACCGTGCAACACACTGGATTCAATGTCATTAAATTTTGCGTTGTACTCCAGCATGTTCTGATCTCGCAACTTGTCATAAAGTGCGTCGGCATATGCGCCTTCTGCAAGGTTCTCTGATCCACCGTTCGCCTGCCGCACTTTGATATGAACCTGTTCCTTTGCGATTTCGAAGAACTTGCTCTTCAATACCCGCTTTCGCAATTGCCACTAGCCATCGATGCACATAGCCATGCGCCATTTCCCGTTCCATAGGCAGGGCTCGAAGACCTTTGGGTGCCACAATATATGATGCCCCCATTGGTGGTCTTCTGTCTCAACCACCGTCCCAATGTGTTGTATGAAGTGCGGGCCTCCGGTGAACTCCTTCATGTCCTCTCGAATTGTGTCTCTGGGCATCAGTTTGTCGTCCTCGTCGGGTGGAAGCACGAATTTGATGGCGGAATGGTCCATTCCGCTAACCTGTGCATTTTCCTCCTGGGGGACGTTATATTGCTTCTCTCTTGGGATCTTCGACAGCCCCATGCTCACATACACGTTGTCCAGTTGAGTCAATACCCCGGGGTATCTGGCACTGCTTTCCTTGCGTTTGGATTGGAGATGAGGCTCTTTTCCACTTAACGAGGCCGCTCCTGCATGCAACCCTTCATTGCTGTTATTCTTGCTTGCATTGGTTGCACCAATTGGCCCCCGGATCTCATTCCCCGCACTCTCTTGCATTCCTTGTTCACACGACCTCTGCTCCCCACCACGAATGCTCTCCCGGCTCGCCACAACATCCGTTTTTATCCTTTCCATTGCATGTTGACCCTTGCCGCCGTCCAACGCTTGTCGAACATCTTGTTGAGCACCCGGTACACGCAGATCTACATCTTCGTCCGATGTCTCCTCCTCGCTGTCGAGCACATCGAAGTGCTCACCCGCATCCAACTCATCGGCGTATGTCTTCACACGCAGTCCGTCTTCTTGTTTGTTGAACCACAAACGCTCACACCGCGCTATGAATATCTCAATCGCACTATTTTTCGCCTCATGGTACCCTTGGAGATGTTGGATGACAATCACTTTACGGTGCATATAACCGATGTCCTTTGGAGTCTTCGGGGCTTCACAGAAAAAAGTTTTTTCACAGAGAGTCCCTCTTCTTGCCAAGCTTGAGGTACATGTCTCTCTCTGGAAGCTAAGGAGTTTTTGGTCGTTCGAAGTGGCAACGACTTTCTGGCCTGTGGACCTCTATATCGAGGAATGTGGACGTCCAATCGAGCATTGTTGAATTGTTGTCACACGCAACAACATTGTGATCTGACCGCAGCACTTCCCAGACTGATCCTGCCTGCACATTCCCGAGCAGCAGCACACCTTCGCCATCCTTTGCAAACCATTTGCACAATTCCTTCACTTTTTTTGGCTCTCTCTCCCAATGCCCGTACACGGCTTTTGTATCGCCCGATATCCCAACATGCTCATTCGTGCATTGCACAAATAAGTCCTCCTTCACGTTATCGTCGGACCACGTGACATGGTTTCGTGGTTGCACAATCACCTTCTTGTAGTCGTTGTTCGACACATGCATGACAACGGTCATGCAGTCCCGAGGTCGCAGTGGAAGATTTCCAGCGGGAACAGCATATTGGTCGTTCCCAAAATGTCTCTCTCACCGACCTGGAATCACTTTGACGTGATCCCAACGAAGCACGTTCTTCAACACAGTTTGCTCGACTCTTAACGTCGAGAATATGACGATGACCCAATCCGTGCCACAGAAGGTGTTCATCATCTCCGGCAGCACTGCGAATCTCTCATCTGACCACTCGTGAGGGGCTGTCGACTTGCGCGGGCACAGGTCCAGGACTGCGAGGCGGCAATTGAGCTTCTTAACAGCTCGTGTGACTCCTCCGATGGTTGCAGCGCCTCGTACGATGCCAAGCATATCGGAAGAAACGTAGTGTGATCGTTCTTTGCATCCCACATCATGTGCCGCGCATTTGCACTTATGCGCCGCAACTCGTCCTGCAGCTGGTCGATAGCCCCGATGATTTCATGCATGAACACTTTCAGATAATACGGACACTCCGCATATAGTGTCCGCGTCAACTTGAACCCTCCCACCTTGCCCACCTTTGGTTCGTCAATGCCGCCCAGACGTTTTGGCACATCTTTCGCCTTGTGAGCTGACACCTTCGTCTTATTTTCCTCCCATTGCTCCTTCGTGAGTCCCGCCGGGGCAAATCTGTCCATCTTCCGTTTTGAAAACCACATAGTTGAAAAGGCGTATCATGTATCTCTCACGTCGAACCTCAACCCGAATGTTGTCCATGTTCAACAAGTTTTTGTTGAACATCCGCCCCGTCGTGACAACCACCTGGCGGTCCAATATCATTTCCAACACCATTTCCTTCTCCCTTGCAGTCAAGTCTTCGAACAGCTTCCACGCGCTTTGCGGAGGGTCTCGAACGCGGACGTAGTGCCCGTCAGGCGATTTGTTGGACTGGACGTAGTGCACTAGCTCCTTCTTGCCTTTAATTGACAACGCGCATGGACCCGGACCAGCAATGGCCACTTGTTTCCCTTGCTGATCCACCGGAGGCACGCCAGTCTTATCAGGCAAGAGTCCCGCCTCCCACGAGTCAAAGAATCGGGTTAGAAGGTCCCACACTCTGTTGCCAACTGTTGCCAACACAAGATGCGATCTCACTAAATTCGACCAATTCGTGTTGTAGACCGGCTTCAGTGTTTGCCCTCGCAGTTCGGAGTCGGCAGTGAGTCGGACGGCTCTGCGGATGAATTTCTGATAGTTATCTCTCAAGGCCTCCTTATTTGTTTCCGGCGGTGCGTGTTCCCAATCGCCAGAAGGCATCCCCATGTCAACCCACAAGTCTCTGATATTTTTCACCGACACACGGAAGGAATCCGGGATAGCTCGTGTCGCCCTTGTGTTATCGGAAGTCGAAATATATCATCGAAATACAGAGCACGTGCATGCCATGAACGCACACCCCACTTCTGCGCAGCCGACGAATTGGCCGCAACCAGTCTCCGACAAGCCTCTACCGTGTGTTGTCCACCCACCGCATACCAATGGTACGTGTGCATGTCGTCTGCGTCGAAATGTTCAGGTTTCACACGCACCCACTGTTTTTTACCACGAATAGCCACTTCCGTCACAGGGGCCAATATCCATGTGGCCCTGTCCCACTCTCCCTTCTTCTCTGGCAGTTCCATTGCTCTCACGATGGAAACGACGAGCATTTCATTGAGTGGTCTGACATTGTACTGCACAGGGCCTCCCACGGGGTTTGGCAAAACCTTTATGCAGTCCACGTAGATCTCTTGAGGTCGTTTTCGCGGGCCACTCACACCTCTCTTTTTCGGGTTTCCCCGATTGTCTTTCCAAATGTTGCACGTATGCGGTGTGAGACGCGCCCAAACCAAGTATCTCCGCTCGACGTCGCTCACTCTGCATTTTTCGTTTGCGCGAGTTCGCGGATGCTTGTGTGCCAGCAACTTCGACGTCCCGGTCCATTTCTCCACCGCTTTCTTCCTCGTCGTTGTCCTCGTCTCTGCCTTTGTTCTTGCTTCCGTGCGGAGTTCTTTCTTCCGCATCTCCCGGATTTTCCTCCTCCTCGATGCTCTCCCCTTCTTGGTTCTCCTCCTCCTCGTCGTTCTCCCCTTCGTCTCCACCCCCCTCATCCTCTCTTGCATTGTCATCCCCAGCGGCCTCGCGGCTCTCCCGCTCATCACCCTCGCCCTCCGTGGCGTCGCCCCGCATACTTCCTTCCTCGGCGCCTCACCCTGTTCACTCGACTTCTCCTCACGTTCGTCAACCCCGTCATCCCCATCGGGACAGTGGCTGGATGACGGCACCCCACGGGTGTCCCACTCAACATTCTCTTCGTCCTTGTCACGTGGTGAAGCCTTTTTCCGATGTTGCGCCCGACGAGAAAAGACCGACGGTGCCTTGGCGGCCTTCGACGGTTTTTCCTTTGTGTTCCCCGGTTTGGGAAACCCGTCCTGAGGAGAAGGTGTTTCGGTTGTCACGACGAATACCTTTTCGGTTGGTGCGGTGTTCTTCATCCTTGTCGAATGCGTTCCACCTTCAGTTCCGACGCCGAGAGCGGATCGCAGCGTAACTTGCTTAGACTCCCCGTGCTTGTGTGTCCTCAAAACGCCCTCCAACACCTCCCTTGAAGTGTCCGCAGACACGAACGGTGTCGACAAACGCACGTTGCTGTCCACCTTGACCTTAAAGCCCGTGACTTTATAGCACGGCGTTTTCTTCAGGAACTCGATCGGTCCCACCATCTGGACAACCTTCAGTTTCTTCGACCTATCAAACGGAGGCAACGCCACATGCCGTAGCCAACAAATCTCGACAAATGCAGTGACACTTTCTTGTATTTCCCGGACAGTTCGACGCCGCCACTATCGAAGCATGTGGGCAAGTGAAAATCGTAGTACCCCTCCTCGCCGACAAATTTGTCCACGCCATAACTGTCAATCCCACCGCACACGTAAAAATGTCCGCCATCGTCCTTCAGGAATATCACGGGACCGCACCCCTGTTGCTTAACCCCGCCGAACCAATCAAGTGCCAATTCCATCCCACGGAACAATGCCGCTCTGCCAACCACCTTGGGGGTGGACGTCTGCGACGAAGAAGGAACCACATGTACATGCCCACGAGAAAATAATATGTGATCAGCACAAGCGAGGCAAAGGTCATCGATGCCCGAGGGCATTGGTCACTCGACACCTAATGGTGCAGACGGGGCCACCATCGGTTGTCGTCGCGGCGCTCGATGGTGCACACGGGGCGACCATCGGTTGTCGCTGCGACACCCGATGGTGCACAATAAGAAACCATCCCTATGACACAAGTGGTTATCGCATAGGTGAATATTCGCAGATGAACAGTCTGAATGTGGAAAAAACTCAAGTGGTTTTTCGGGTTTGAATTCTTGTTTTTACGTCATGAATAATGGATTGCGATTGTGAAAGCTTGGGATGGAAGATGTTGTTCATGGTGAATCCATGTTTAGTTGTTTAGGGGAAACCATGTTTGCTAGTCGAGATGATGTTTTGGATGACGTAGGTTGCTTTCGTAACATTCGCCCTTTCATGATCTTTATTGTAGCGGACCTCGGGTTGGCCTGTGAGACCAGCCCCTTGGCCTGTTCTCACAGGCCTGTGTTGTATTCGGGGTAGGCCAGTCCAGGCCGGTACCTCTGTCGGTACCAGCCAGTCTAGTCCAGTCCCGTCAGTCCGCTGGGGTATACCCCAGCCATTGTCTGTTTTCAGGCTCATTCATCACTTGCACATTTTGGAGTACGTGCGTTGGAGTCTTGCGTGGGGAGCTGCGTCGTGCCAACTTACTCCCCCTTCTTCCTCCATCTCCATCTCTGTCACTAGCGGAGCACCACACCTGGTGGGTCCGCTACATTGGTATCGGAGCGGGAACGGTTCCCGCCCCCACCCACCACACCGCACAGCAGCGAAATACGGCAAAACCCGACAGTCGGGTTTTGGCTGTTTTTGGGGCGTTTTCGGGCGAAAAAGCGGGAAAAACGACGGGAAAAGGTGTTGCAGCAGGAGAGCTCCATGTGGCGAAAAAGGAAGCCGCATCACGACGCGTGCGCGCAAGCGCCAAGTCCAAGGCCGCCGCACGCGCGCGCGCCACGCTCCGCTGCCCCGCCCCGCCCCGCTCCCGGATTTATATTATCAAGATCCGGGATGCAACTGCTGCTGTAGGGGTTTGAACCCAGGCAGTGCCGGAGCCATGCGCGTGCGTAAGCAGCCTCATAACACACTCGCCACAGTGTGTCCATGGCTTTGTAGCACGGCACACTCGTGTTGAAGAGGTGCCGTGCTGGCTATTTACACCCCCCCCCGGCGGC